CGAATCCATTGCATCCAGGAGGTGCATTAGGGAGTTTCCTGGACAATGTCAAGCATTTCTTCGACAGTTTAAGTATGTTTACTACTTTTCTTAAAACAAAATATCTAGCACCTTAAGCGAATGTTAAGAAACATTGGGTTTGACTAATCTTTCCTTCCTTCACAACCTCTGAGCAACGATTCAGCAATTGCCAGGATGTTATTTGTTTAAATGGAGATGATTTCATTCGTTACTGTTAATCTTGAAGATATTCGAAATATTCAAACTACAAGATAATCATGTTTGTTCTCACTACAATTGTAAAATTTGCTACTATACGAATTCTTTCTGAGGAAAAAAGAAGGCGGCAAATTACACCTTAAAGACCTCTTTTAGACTATAATTATTGACATCGTTTTGAAAAAAAAATGGAGGTCCAGCGAGATTTCTCTACTTACGAGTTTACTTTTTTTGTAGGTTAACTCCGCATTTAAATCCTATCGATTTAGTTCCACACCCTGTTTTTCCACCTCCAATGCCTCCACCACGTCGTCGGCCAAGGCCACGACCAAGACCTCGACCTTCTCCGCCCTCACCAGAGGAAGAATTCTGGCAGGTACCAGAATCTCCTAGCCCACAAGAGGGACAGGAGTCTTGGCAGACAACGATAACTCCTTCACTACCTGAGCATGAAATATGGCAGATACCGTCGCAACGACAAGGCCAGATAGGGATGGGTCAGGAAGTGGGACCTCCTCAAAGAGTGATGCCAACCCCAGTTGTGCCACCTCAAGGAGCGATACCCCGACCTCACAGAATAACAACAGAAGGAGGAGTTGGTCCGGGTACGGCTTTATAAGCACTTTCTTTAATGAGATTAAATGCAAAAACTTCTGCCTGCACTACTTGAAACATCTGGATATTGTAAAAAAAATGACAAAACGTGAACTAAAGGAATTCTTGGCTACTTATGGACTTAGGTCACCAATGAGACTCTCTATGTTTGATATGAACATGTCTTTGTTTGAAAAACCCTAATCGATTTGGGTTAATTTTTTCTGCACCATTTTCGCCTTTCTTCTTTTCAAAACCTTCTGAAATTTTTGCGATTCGCCGGCAGACGTACATTGTAAAAGAACTAATAAGTTTCTGTAAAGCAATGCATTATTACTTTACAGTTATTTTACTTACAAGCGCCCTTGTTGCACATGCATTCCCTCTAATTTACGATGGTTGCTGAGAAGTTCCTACAAGCCTTTCACTGGCAAGATCTAACTTAATCGTCCTTTGAAATACTACTATACAACGCGGGGAGGGACCTAGGTCAGCAAGACCCCTGCCACTCACAAAAAGGGAATTGAAGATGCAAAATGTAATACTTTCCTTCCGGCCATCACCACCAAGAGCTCCTGCCAATTTTGAGGTTTCTTCTCCAACAATTTGACGTGTGACGGGACATAATGGGACATGACGGCGATTTTTATTAGCAGCAAAAGAAGAAATTCCACAGTTGCAATGTTTGACCTTCCTAGTAATGCTTGCATTCACCATCAAAGTCTCCGGACGTCGCGTTTTCTGGTGGACAGTAGATAAATCACATAGGAACTCAAAACAATAATGACGCAAAATTTATTCGTAGCCGCTTTGGCGATACCAAAGGTAGGGCGGAAGAGAAGGTTCCCCATTTTTGGATTTCGTCACCTTCGTCATTCGAAAATGTTTTTAGCAACAATGTTTTGAGATAAGAGTGATTGCCGGGTAACCTAAATTGCCCAAATCTCAATATGAAGAAATTTTTGAGCAAAACTTAAGCTTCTTATTAGCTCGTCCCTGCTATCCGCGGAAGGACTTTCTCACATATTCAAAATCCGAGACGGCTCAAACAAAGCAACAATGCAACATAAGTTTGTGTAATTCATTCTTTTTGCCCGCTAGTGTTCTTTGTGTCAAACAGCTTTTATCAACACATCATCATGCGTACATCGAAATGTTCCGTTTTTTCTTGTTTGCCTCGTTCTTGCTGAAACATCTGCACTATAGTCAGTGTCCTTGATACATTCATTCAGCTAGTGTAGTGACGTGAAATCGCTCAGGTATAAATTGCGAATGACTCACAGCTCTTGTATGACCGGTTATTGTATCGTTTGCCGAAAAGCTGAAAGCGAGGAGGTTGTTTCCTGCTATTTATGATAAGGTTGTCACAATGGCAGAATATATTACCCGTCGACATCATGTCTTTTCACTTTGAT